CACATTGGCCCACAATGGTTGGCTACTGAACTATTTCAAAAGTTTGGTCTTATTGTCAATAGTGGTTGATTGTACCATCATAAATCTCTGAACTGATTTTAATGAAAATTTCCAGAGACAGTCACTGCCTTGTCTACATCAAATTAACTTTTGGACAATAATTCAAGATGGCCAGTAAAGCCAACTGACCCTAGAAAACTCAGACAGTTTTAAAGATAATWAGCTGTAATTTGGTGTRGTAAYAGCTGAATCTTGCCCTTAATGCATCCTTTGAGCACAACAAATTGTGTGACTTCTTTGCTGAAATACTTGAAATAAACTGACAGTYAATGCTGTGAGTCTGTCTGCACAATTTCTCATAAACAGATTTCAATCAAACTCTGAAAGTTATCTTTGGATGAACATTAAAACTGATTAACTTTTGGAGTCACCTCAAACTGAAGATGGCGACCACAGTTTATCAGCTTTAGCTTACACAAAAATGACTAACTCAGTAAATTTTTCATGTTGAGCTTAAAAAATGGTGTAGGTAAGAGCTGACACTTATTCACATCAGCTCTAATAGATTATTCATGATGTCACAACCTCATTTATTTTAACCTAGAATGATCTTCAACTCTGGCCTGAAAGGTGGAGGGTGACATGCATTCTTTAAAGGAATTTTGAGCYTTTCATTTAAAAGAGGAACAAGTCATCACATGTTTTTAATACAGTRTGTGAACTACTCACTAATGAAAACATGTCTTCTAACTGCCGTCACCCACAAACAGACATGAAGTTCCTCTAACGGCTCACACCCACGTCTTGCTCGAAGTCGTGTGATTTTTATCACCAATCTGTTCTGTTTTTTTCTGTAATATCAAAGGCTAAATGTCTCTAATTAGTTATAATCAAGTTTGCATTTAATCCCGTTACTACAGTTGAGATTGTGAAAATCTCTTGTGACATTCCTCATTTTTTTTTACTTCCTTGTTAGCTTTTACAGCTTTTTTTTAATCAGTTAACTCTAACCTGTGAATCATCCATGCATAAAAAGGGCACGTAAACTCACAAATGAACCAGTGCTGTGTCAAAAAAATATTAGCAAAGATTTTAAGTGAATCCCAAGACACTTTGTTACAAGCAGCCTTGTAAAAAGCCACAATAATATTATCCAATAATTGAATTTATAGCCTTTTAAATATTTGACAAAGCTACAGTAGACACGCAGCTCAAAGCTATGAATCTCGCTTCCTGTGTGGTGTCTTTAAGATTACTTTCTATTTCTTAAAGACAGGACTGCATTTCTTTTAAATCTGCTGGTTTTAGACCTGATGCTTTTTTTTCTTCTCCACTTGTCTGCCTAGATTATTTTTATACACATCACACAATATGTTATGGTTCAGCACAAAGAAAGAAAAGGACTCAAATGAATGAATGAAATAATGACAAGCCAAAAACAACAACATTAAAAGAAAAAGTTTTGAACTATCAGATTAAAGAAAGTCTGGTTCTTTAGAAGGAAAATACCAGGTTTTTACTGTAAGTATAGGATTGAATAAAAGTGTCTTTGTGTTAAAGAAAACTCTTAAATTGTGTAAATAAATTATATTGTTTTTTCCAGGCTTTAGAAAAAATGTCAATGTCATTTCCTTCATATGTTTACCTGTATCTTGACCCTCATAAATCCCTAACTTTCATAAAAAATCTGTAGCAGTCACAGAGTACAATGGATTGTTGAAGCAGACTGTCGGACATTACTAAGTCTGCAGCAGCATTGAAGCAAGGGGAAGCAATGAGGGCAAGACAAGGAGGTAGTATTGACCAGTCTTGGTCTTGAGRYCGGTTTTWAGACCACATTYTTGRTAGTCTTGATCTCGACTCAGACTAGACCGCATTTGTACTCAGTCTTTTTTTTGGTCTGGGACATTGAGGACTTGGGATYATTTCAAGACCAGTCAAGACTACAGCTGTGGCATAGGTATCACTGAATTGCCAGAATATTTTCCAAATTTCTTTCAAACACTCTTACATGTAAAACGTACTGATTCAAATTCAAGCATGACTCATTGCTAATTGTGTTTTTTGTTACCCGTCTCCACCTYGCTTTCAGACGCACGCGACACTTCAAGAAAGTGACAGTGGTTGTCTGGGAGTGGAAGAAGATCTTCAGTAATACAATTCAGCTATATAAATCATTAAAAAATTATTTGTAAAACAAATCCAGGAGAAAGCAGTGACTTGTAAATTCTGCAGTGCTTCGCTTTTCAAGGTGGTGGGGACTACGTCAAACTTTTATAGTAACTTAGAAAGGAAGAACAAAGAAAAGTAAACTACGTGTAAGTAGCAAAGCTACTAATGTTAGAAATCGACCTCTGTACCAAAATTTTTACCTGGCCCTCACACAAAGAGATTTAGTCAATATTAGCTATAAATATTAAATTAGCTAGCTTTTTTTTTTTTTTTTGGTCCTGGTCTTGACTCGGTCCAGCCCTCGTCTCAATCTTAATACACTCTGGTCTTGGTCTGGACTTGGTCTCAGGTTAGGTGGTCTTGACTTCAACACTACGAGGATGAGGCAAACTTATGTTCTTAGACTGCCAGCTCTGAGACTTAAATATATTTGAATCAAAATGTATGAAAAATAAATATGCAGGATTGTCCTATATGTCTGTATTCAAGCAAAATGGRGGAAAATCGGTGTGAGGCAATGTGTACAACTTGACGTTTATGATTACTAAAAGCAAAAAGTAACAAAAYGCTATTTAAATTTAGCAGGACATTAATTTGAGTTAAAAATGAGCACAAGTTGATTCAGCATTAGCAGTAATAGCATCAACAGAAGCATGATGAAGTTTCAAAGAGAACAAGGATTTGGATTTGAAGAGATCTTAATATAATTYAGAAGGATGTTTTTTCTAAATAGTTTTTAAAAAAGGAGTGCAGCATGGTGGAGGAACTGTTAGATCTGTCATCTTTCAACAAGAAGGTTGCCCATTCAGACCACACTTTTCTGAGTGAAATTTGCATGTTCTATCTGTGCACGTTAGTAGTCTAGTTTCATCCCACAGAACAAAAACATGCCCGGTAGGCTAACTTATAACTCTGAATTACCTGTAATGTATGAGAGTGGTTGTTTGTCTCTATGTGTCCCTGTGATGGACTTTCATCCTGTCCTGCCTGTCCCCCTCCTCTCGAAGTCTGCTGGATATATAGGCACCAGCAACCCAGCAAGGAGAAGCAGGTAAAGATGRTGGATATTATTTTGAAAAGTGCAAAAGTTATCAAAAACAAAACTGTGTCCTAAATGAGCTGAATGTTCTGATAAATGAATAATTAAAATAGAACTTAACTTTATGGAAATATAGAAGCTAAAAAAAGAAACAGGAACACTATAAATCAGCACTCACATAACTAGATGACAGATGCATGAATAAAAAGACACATACCAACAACTAATGTCATCATAAGTACACTAGTTAAATAACTCTAATTAATAMTGTTTATTAATAATGGCTCCATACAAGAAATATGACCTATTATAATGAACTGAGGAAGTCCAAAAGTGTTGTGCTGAAATATGCAGCAATAGTGATTAAAATGATTTAACAATTCAATTTTATTACAATATAAATACTTTATCAATGTTTTTTTTTTCAATGAAATATCTGAAATCTTGGAGAATTTTTTGAAGCCCCTCTTTTGAGCAGTAGCTACAAAAAAACATGATTTTGARCAGAAAAGCTTTAAATGTTTGTTGTTTTACCTGCAAGCTAGCAAAGCTTTAATTTCCCTTAATATGTAAATAATGTTTGAGGTTTCCGCTTTACATTTATGTCCAAMATTTCTCATTAGAAYMRCCTAAAAATAAGATTCAGAYCAWKTGTCAATTRTTTGTCCTGATTAAGAAGACAAATCAGGGCACATTTCTARAAACTATATCCGGCCTTTACTGTCACACCAGGAACTGCACTCATCACATTTCTTTTGTTCTCATTACTAGAACTGCAGCTGCACTATTTTTTTTCTATTTCCTCATCATTTGTACAAACAAATCTGAAAGACAGAACATGGCTAACTCAGCAGGTGTGTTTGTGTACTCTGTGACTCAACGCTGCTGCTGCTCCACCCACAGATCAAACCCCACGTTGACAGAAACTAACCACACTGAGTAACTGCACTGATTTTTTAAAGTTTTTGTGTCCAGGTGTCCTGAACAGGTGTAAAATCTAAACAAATTAAAAAATAATATAAGAASAGCCAAATAACATATAAAGAACACTTACGGGGAAACATATAAAAATCAAGATCTAGTCTGAACTGCTGCTTTAGTCAAACCCAGAAAATCCTGTTAGTAGGATTTTTATCTCTAAACACTCAGAATGTGTTCCACTTCAATTAGTATCTCAGTACCTGTAAAGATAACCATTTTTGTGTTTTCCAAGGTTGGTTAGCTGTGGGGGCCAACTTGTAAATGTACTTTATTTGTCATCAATGCAYGTTCCTATGCAATAATGAAATGTGWRCTTTGCATTTGATCCATCACACATGAGAAACACCCAAGAGGAGCAGTGGGCAGCTGTGTAAGTGCCCTGGGAGCAGCTGGGGGTTGGGTGTCTTGCTCAAGGACACCACAACATGTGGGCATGGCCTGGAGAGTTGAACCTGTGACTTTCTGGTCCCAAGTCTGCTGCCCTGCCACTACACCACAGCTGCCCCCATTAATTTTGGGATGACTCAGAAAGTAAATAAGTTGTAGCTGTACACCCAATGAATCCAGTCTGGAAGTTTTAGTAACATTAAGTGGTTCGATAGATATTTTGCTAACAAACAGGCAGGCGTTACATTATTGAAGACCTGTCAACAGCGAGTGTTAATGTGACTGCATTTTAGTAGTGGGGGATAATACCTTTTAAAAGCCTGTTAAAAATATATGTTTTTGTCTAACACAGCAGCACAACAACATCCTGTTGGAACAAACACACAACAGAAACAGAAACAAAAAAATAAATAAAACTCACCAAGTCATCAACACAAGATTGAAACTTCCAGGAGCAAAAGRAAAACACGGCTGAATCTGTTGCAGATTGTAACATTTCTTTCCTCCTTCGTTTTTTTTTTAACCTTTACCTTTGCCCACGTTTTCATCTCCTCCCATTCTCCATTCTTCTGTTTCGAACTGTCAAACATCACCCATTTGTCATGCTTGCTGCAACACGTTGTGAGAGAGGTGTGTCTTTATTACCTGCCGTGCTTCTGCTCTGACAGTCTGACAAAGTCCTCACATTCCACAAAACACACATTTGTGTTCAGCGTGTTTTAAATCAATATCCTCTCATGATTCAGAAGTATTGGCATSAATAACCCAAGACGTCACGCTCAAAGTCTGTGTTGTTAATGACTCTCAGCTATGACAATGTCTGTCGTGATAAGAAATTTTGCTGGACAATAAATTGTCTCATAAATTAATGCAAATTAAATTGTTAGGAGACCATTTTAAACAAATAYGATATCCAGTGGGTGGGCACAGTTCCCCTAAAGCACTAATAGGGGAACTACAGTAATTTCCTGATTGGGGCTTTTGCTATTTTTTAAATTCATTAGTGGATTAGCACTTGCTAAAATTATGGGCTAAATTTAGAAACACTAACTGAGGTCTTTAAACATTATTGATCAACATTATTGTTCACAGTCGAGTGTGAAAGCTGTCATACATTTTGTTCATATGCGTGTCACTTATCTACAAGGTTATGTGTCAAACTCAAGGCCCACAAGCCAAATGTGGCCTGCTGGTGACTCCCATTTGGCCCACCATGGGCACGAAGTGATAACATTCTGCACACAGTAAATATTGTTTCATGTTGACTCTGAAGAATGTTCTATGTGTCAACTGGGTTATTAGTGCTTTAGAATTAGCTTTTGCTAATTTTTCCAATGTGTTAGTGCTTTAGGGCAGTGGTTCCCAAAGTTGGGGTCGGGACCCACAGTGGGGTCCTGAAACATCAAGGTGGGGTCCTGAAAAGATTTTCTGAATTACTTACACTAAAACATTACAACTACCAACAATTTCTTTTTGCCTTTGTTGCTACAAAAGAGTAAAGTTAGTGGACTTAAAATGGACAAAAAGAGAGTAATAAATATTGTTATTGTGTTCTTGTTTATTTGACATGGAAACATTGTTTATCAACCAACAACACCTGGGGTCACAGGTCTCTGCWGCTGGTATTTTGTGGGTCAAAAGCTAAACAGTTTGGGAACCAMTGCTTTAGGGGACCTAAATAGTTGAGTTAGTGCTTTAGGGTTAGTGCAACTAACATTTAGAYCAGTGCTGCYCACCACTGATGATATCCCACCAACACCACCAACATAACACTCCCGCTTACAGAAGTTTATGAAATTTATGTACRTAAACAAGTTAYRAACTGACCTGGACCAGATAATGGGAAACCAACACACAAGAGCCGCTGAAGCTGCATCACTTCCTACCGCTTCTATCAATATTGGCACAATTTTTTCTATACGTGTCTTCCTCTGGCTTCATAAAATTATTGAGGTCACTTACAATGCTGCTTACAGTTTACAAAATTTAACTAGTGTAAAAAAGAAGAAGGCAAAAAACAAAGATGCTTCTCTGGCTAAATGCCTGTTCACAGGGCTCTCATGTTACAGAAGTTACCACCTGACAAACACCTGATGCCAGAGTTCACGCCTTCCTATGCCAAGGAGAAGAAAAGAGGGAGAGACAAAGAAAAACAAGCAGGCAAATAAAAATGATCAACCTCATTTTAATTTATCGTGCAATTAGTTGATTTATTGCTTTTCGTGACAGGCCTAGCTATGACCACATCAAAATTTGGCTATAGCCATTTCTGGGTTGTTTCATGAGATATTACAAAGATTTTAAGCAAATTCTAACGCAATAAATATAATTTAAAATATATGTTGTTACTGACACTGTGCTTCAACCATACAAAATTTTAGCAGAATATCTGTAAAACTATGCTGACACAGCAACATTGATGTCCTGTCTAAAGTCAGCTGACTGAGGCAGCCATCTTGAACTGGGTTAGTTCTATAAGTTAATCAGTTGTAGATGCACCTCTAATGATTGCTTCCTGACAGTTTCATTTAAACTTGCCTAGTAGTTCATGACATGCTTTTTAAACTAACAAGCGGACAGATTTGACTTCTAAGCAACAATGGCAATTTTTGTGTATAAATGGGGAAAGGATAAGAACAGGGTTAGATCAAATTTTAGGTCAGTGTCTGTATAAGTGACTAAGCTATAACCTTTCTCAGTAAGCTGTTGCTGCAACCTTGAACCAGTTTGATTCTAAAAGTTAATCAGTTGTAGATGTTCTCCCACTGATTCCTTCCTGTAGTTTTTGGTAAAACTTGTTCTGTGGTTCCTGAAGTATTTTAGCTGCACTACAGACACACAAACACAAATATCATGCTGTATATACAGTGTTATCACTTAGCTTCACCTTTCCGGAGCTGGTGATAAAAATCTCAAAAGAGGAAATAATTCTTGCGAAACATTTTTATCAGATTTGTGAAAGGCCATTGTTTGTTGCACCACCTGGTTTCTGGTTCAGTGAACAGAAGCCAGAACCAAATGTGGAAAAACAACCACGCAAAAAAGTTTATGAACCTTTGATTTACAGTATATGGGTTCCCCTTTTTCCTGCCACACCCCCTTTGGAGGAAAAAAACAATAACTTTCATCACCCCATCAGTTTAGCTAGCACGCAGTGAGGTAAATCTAACTGGAATGAAAATGCTACAAATGAAAGTGTGCCAGTTGTGCTTGGAGTAAGTGATGGCAATTAGGCTCAGCTTTCAAATTTTTGCTGAACATCAGTAAAATCATCAGAATTACAGCCATTTTGTGTTTGCTAAAGGCAGTTAGCAGTGTCAGCTAGCTTAAATCAGGATGACTCTTAAAAGTATTCATGTAAATGGACATCATGCATGATTTTCATTGTCGTAGGCCTTCAAAACTCATGTGGTTTAGTAACTTGACCTAGGTGTGAGGTTTTTACTTGCGTTATTTGCTTTTTAACTTTATTCTGTAAGCTGACAGGTTTCAAACACAGGAAACATGATGCAACACACAGTTTAACTGCATAGCTGAAGGCATCGATCATTTGTCATGTCTCAATTCAAGGGCTGCAGCCCACGTAGACCACAGCCCACAGAGGTCACACCCTTCGGTGTCCGAGTAGGCTACATAAAAATGTCTGTTAAATGAGACAGTCTAGTCTCTGTATAGTCATGCAATCTTACATGCTGTATGATCGCATGAACACTCACTACCTAATTACCATAGTTACATTTTATATCACATCATTCATAAATGTCTTACTCTTAAAATGAGTTGGGACATGTATTCACACGTCTTTTCACAGGAGGTATAACTTCCCAAAATTCAGTGAATTTTTAAAATGTTGCACAAAAATACCAAGAAGACTTAAATAGTTTGGGTTTAGGTCCAGTATCAGCACTATAGTTTTATAATAGTATTGTGAATTTTCTTTTAACGTGGCTTCAGTTGCTATTTAATGGGTTGGTATGTCGTATTTTGTTTAACTTGTGTGGCTTTCACTCTTCATGTTCATTGTTACAACGGTCTGCTCAAAATGATTATTGTACTATGACATAAGCTTGTGTGATTTATATAAATAAGAAAATAAAAGCATAGAACTTAATAAAATAAAAATCAAAGACATAATTTTATGCTATTCAGCATCATGTCGCAGCGTAATCAGCTAGGTTGTTAAACAGTGAAATATTCAGTCTGATGATCAAACTGCCATTTCCTTTTTCCTGTTTAATTTGCTGACAGCTCAACAAATCCTGGGATATCGTTGGATGTGAAGGTAATGGCGCATTATCAAGTCCCTAAGAACTCCGAAGCTCTTTACACTTCAGTCATTCACCCATTCACACACTGAAGGTAGTAAGCTACATCGTAGCCCCAGCTGCCCTGGAGCAGACTAACAGAGGCGGGGCTGTCATGAACTGGCACCACCAGACCCTCTGACCCGTCAGTAGACAAGGTAAGTGAAGTGTCTTGCCCATGACTAAGATAGCTGGAATGGGGGATTGAACCGGCAACGCACCAGTTACAAAACAACTCCCCTAACCACCCCACCACAGATGCTCTAGATATTTTAAAAATAAATTTTCTGTTGTATTCACACTTCCTGCTTAACCACATATTTTTGTCTAGAAAATTAGATTTTCAAAAGTGATTTCCAAAGTAAAAGCA